TTCTACCTTTCATGGCTAGCACTCTACATAAGATGATTGTAGGACTGATGAAGAGATATTTAAGGCTGATGTGCTTCAGAAGGCTGCCTCAGCAGTAAAGCTTCTAAAGTTAGACCTTTCAGACATGAAAAATTTACTTGAGATCAAGAAGGCGGATATTGGATTTGTTGCTGTGCACAAGCTCAAGAAATTACAGGCAGACAAAAAGTCAGTGACTGCCAGGTAACTATTATGAGAACAAACTTGTTTTATTTTCCCTTTTCCTGTGTTAAGAAATCTAGAGATGGCCATTGATGTCCAACACAGTGCATAAATATGATATTTAATATAAAATTTCTCAAAATATATTTTGTCACTTTAAACAAAATACAATACAATAATTTCCTATGAGCTTTTAAAAATGGAATGAAATAATGCTTCCTTCAGAGACTCATTGACTTGCTAACCTTGTCCTGACCCATTGCAGACAGTATTGCCAAAAATACCAGAAACTGAATTTTTGTCTGTGTTGCGCTTAATACTATTGTTACTTTCAGATTTACCAGTTCAAGAGTGAGTTTCAGTCCTTCTTAACTACTATTGTCAACAAGCTGTTTGAAAAGATACCACTAGCCTACTCTTTGGCATGAAATCTGACATGTCTGGACTCCAACGTGATTGTGACTGACAAAGAAGGTTGCTGTGCAAAGTTCATCGTAGGGCTTAGCGAGTTGGTGAAATGCAGAAGATTGAACATACGTGATTGTGATTCCTTAGTTTTGCAGTACTCTGAGTTTCTTGATCTGGCAATTAAGGCTGAGAAATCAGCCATGGAAGAATTCAACTTCAAGGTGGACAGGCTGGATATATTTCTGCAGAAACACATTGGTTCTGTTAGTTCAATGTCCAAATTATGGGATCTGCTGAGAGAACTCTTGATTCTTTCCCATGGTCAAGCAACTGTCGAGAGAGGTTTTTCCGTAAACCGGCAAGTTATGATCAAAAACATGAAAGAACAAACATTAGTTGCACAGTGTACAATTCATGACCACATTCAGAGCATTGGTGGCTTAGGTCAGTTGGTTGTTAGCAAGGAACTTCTTGCAGCAGCTAGTGTAAGGAGGCAACGTTACTCTGCCAATCTTGCAGAAGAAAGAGCAACAGGAAGCATTTCGAAACAGGAAGTGGAAAATAGTTATTGAGAAAAAAGCTGAGTTTGAGAAAAAGAAAAAGCGCCTTGCCAGTGAAATTAGTGCCTTGCAACTTAATGCAGACTCTCTAGCAAAAGAAGCAGAGGAAAAAGCCAAGCCTGTACTTCTCACTAAGTCTAATGCACTGAGAAAAGCAGCAAAAGAAAAGGAGAGAGCCCTAGAGAAAATTGAAGATAAGCTGAGAGAGCTGGCTTAGAAGAGTGCTAGCTTGTGAAGCTGCAGTTATCTTCTATGTAAAGGGAAAGAACTGTCTCATAGCGGTTTTGTTTTGGAAAATTTTGTTCACTTTGGTTAAACTGCTTACCTGATAACATTGACACTCTCATCACCCATCAAACAAGACCACCACTATTGGCGTCAGGTCTTGATGACTCTGTAAAACAGCCTAAACAAACTACTGTGTGTAAATCAGAGAAGGTAGTCCAATAAAGTGAGTACATAACACTGTAAGGTAAAAATCAACCATGCACAGAACAGCACTTTCAAATTTCCAGCCATATTTGTCCCTTCTTGAGGACTCTAAGGAATCTCGAGGAATCTAATCTTTGAATTTCTTTTTTTTATCAATATAAAACTGTTCTAATGAAGCCTTAAACTGCTGTATAAAAAGTAAAATGTAAAATCCAAGCTTTCACTGTTCAACGGCATCATCAGGGATAAGAAAATATTCTGGGTGCGCCATATTTATGCAAAGAAAGTGCAGGGTGAAATGTGTAAAAGATGTGACTTATGTATGAAAGCTAAGGAAATAAACTGTGAATGGAACACAAGGCTATAATGATGGACTGTCTCTAGACAAAGGACCTCTAGAAGCGCTAGAGAATGGTCTATAAAATAAAATACTAAAATAGAAGGTCTGCGAATTCACTACATTCTTCTCGGGAGTGGAGTGTAGGCTTGCTCTTTCTATTGTAAAATGCTTCATAAAGGCATAGATTAGCAGGGTCATTTTCGCTCATAATAATCTTGACATCAATGCCTGTATAGTCTGTTATGGCAGGAATAGATTTTTTTTTCATAGATGAGTTTTCATTATTGAGATGTTCTTTTATGTGGTAGTGGATAAAGTGTGTTGTGCTACTAATGTATTGTTGATCGCAGCTGTGACACATGAGCTGGTATACTGTATTTTGTCGTAAACGCAATCCAGTGTTAGAGACAGGGCATTCCTCTCTAGTGCATTTGTGCTCCTTGGGGTGCGGGATAAGGCTTGTCTGAGCATGTAGGATATGTGGGCAATGTGTACTGGGATGTTTTCTTTTGCAAAGATGTTAGTGATCTTGTGATTGAGTCGTTCAGAAATGTACGGGATCTTAAGATGCGACCATTCTGTGTTAGCAGGTTGAGGGTTTCGCTGGGGTTTTGTGGGCGTTTTGTTTGCTCTATACTGTTCTCTGGGTAATCGTTAAGGCAAAGGATGTTGTCAAATGTGTTTAGGTGTTGTGTTGCAGATATATGCAAGGAGCATCTGTCCTTGATCGGTTTTCGTTCATTGGGAATGAAGTTGAGTTTGGATTTGATAGGAATAGCAGATTAATGGTGGACGAATAGTTGGTTGCTATCCTTGGATCTGGTGATTTCGAAATCGACTAATGATGATGACAGGCCACTAGGTGTTGTTTCTGGTTTTTCAATTTCGAATTTCAAATTAGGGTGCACACTGTTTATTATATGGTCTGCTGTTTCTTCATTAGTTGTTGGGAGATAGATGTTGTCAACATATCTCTTGTAAGGGCTTATCATTAGGTGCAAGGAGAGGGTGATGGTTTCTAGTTTACCCATGAATAGAATGGCCAGTACGCCTGGAATGCTAGAACCCATGGTAGGCCTTCTCTCTGGCCAAAAACTTGATCTCTGAAGGAGAAGTACATGTTGTTTAGCATGACTTAGAGTAGGTCTGAGATGTCTTGTTTGGAGAGGTGGAGTATTAGGTTCTAAATTCTATCTGTAGCGTTGGTAATGGCTTCTTGTATGGATATTGTGGTGTATAAGGATACTATATCAAGGCTCTTACCTCTCTTGTAAGTGTAACTATGCACTTGTACATCCTCATTTAATTTTGAACTTTCTTTTGTAGCTGAGATCCATGATTATGCCACTAGAAGTACATCTTTGCAACACCTGAACCCTAGCCCCTTCAGAATAAATATAAGGAAATTCTTTCCAAAAGTTATAGAGTGCTGCTATTGGAATGATATTCCTATATCCTATATAGGTGTTGGTGTCACTGAGGTGATCAAGGGCGACCTGTGTGTATGTGGGCCCCATTAGAACGGTAATCGGACATTTTGCACAAAAGACTGTTCGCACAAGTCTTTTAGCACAAGTTTTGGACCGTTCGCACAATTCTTAGTGGTCATTTTGCACAATAATCATAAGTGAGAAACATCAATATAAAAGGTATACTGATTGATACTGATAAGACATTTCACCTTCACAAGATCCAACGGCGAGAACATAGACATTTATTTACGTAACAACTTTAACTAGATCAAAATAAGCCGATCACTATTCTTACTTAGAGAAAGGAAAGGCACAAATCTCTCTCTCCATGAAAATGTAAAGAACTCCCTATTCGAACAACTACTTGCATAACTTTTCCTTTGTTGAACGAAAAACCTTTTAGTTTTGACAGTATTATCCACTACAAAGTTAACATGTGAACATGACGACCCACGCTGAGGACACCATGTTGATTTCGAAAGTAATTGTTACCAGTCTTCCCTCCTTGTTCGATCGCCTTCAAATAGTGTGTTTTATCGATCTGTAAGAGTCTCAAATAAAGCTATTGAAAACTTGCTTCTTATATCTTCGCTTTATAATGAAAATTAGGCATACTGGTGATACGTACAGCAAAAACAGTTCAACATTAATAACTCGATATTCAGAGAGATTCACATCGAATGTCGGCACGTGAAAGTGTTGTGATTCGACAACTTAAACTATCTGTAATCATTTTAAAGATCGTAAAGTTTAATAAAGCGTGATAGCGACCATGATGTAAACAAATGATTTCAGACAGAGATTATACGCCAGCCGTTCGATGAGTAATCATACAAGCTTAAGGTCAAAACAAATAAACAAATCCAGATGTACTGTAGCTTATGTAGGAAAGGACTAAATCTACGAGTCTTGCAACAAAGACTTCCACAACTCTGACTTACATTTAGGACTCTGCTTTAAGGTCACATAGAATATTGCAATGAAATTTAAAAATGTTTACATTCATTTTCATCATCTGCTGTCTGCATTCACCCTCCTTAGACGTCTGTGTAAATAAGAGGAAATAAATAATAAAATAGCATGTCTATTCTAGCTATAGATCCTAGTATTGTGCAGTTGCTGTGTGTTTGCAACAAAGACTTCCACAACTCTGACTGGTACATAGCTTCACATGGAATATTGCAATGAAATGAAGCATATTTACATTCAAAACCACAATAAAATCAAGTTAAAGAAAATTGTACATTCAAGCTGACATGGTGAATGGAAATTGAAGATAGTCAAGGTTGTCATACTCAAAATGTAACACCTTAAGGACAAATTGCTCTTTTACCAATCCTGGACAATATTGTATTCTTGAAATGATCAGTTTTGTAAAATTTAAACTATGGATTATCTTGTACAGTTGAAACATGTGAAACGTGAATTACAAAGTAAAATAAAAGTAAATGATGGACTTTAGAGGCATTACTATTATCCTGGACTTAAAGTAACCACCTAGAGTCGCTTAGGGCAAGAAATATCACCTTTTACTGTTTCATTTTCACTGATCATGTCGCTGTCAGTTGAGACCCACTCCTCCATGTCTTAAACAAATTGAGGCAAATCCTCATCCTGTACATGGCAGTTTCTCTTCTTGTCATTACTCATAAGACAGGAAATCAGTACCAAACATCATGGTCACAAGTTGATCCATGACCTTCAACCAAAGGATTTCACCACGGTCCCAAAAGACATCTTTAGCCTTCCACCCACAACCATGGAAATAAAAACGAAAGAGGGTCTGATGCTTATGGGTTTTGCCTGGAAATAGAAAAGAAACAAGTACTTTTGGTACAAATTATGAACTCAAGCTAATTCACAAAACCACCACATCTCATGAATTGCGGTGATTTCGCCAATGAGTGATTTCGCCAACGTCACGTTCGCTAACGTCTTTGGTCGTTTCGCCAACATCCTACTGGTCACTTCGCCAACGCCAAATATCTAGTAATAACTTAGTAATAAATTAGTAAAAAGGGTGCTTACTGATGCTTCGGATGTAATGCTGATACTTGGGTCAGAACAGAAAAAGCCGGCGTGTGAGCACTAACATCGCCGTAATTTAAAACTGTGGAATAACAAACTCTAATGGCTTCCAAATGTGTTCCAAAAATGTATAACTCAAAATTTTACTTGAAAAATGCGTTACGATGTGAATTAACGAGTTACCTTTTTTCAAAACCTTCTGATTCACAAAATGTTTTCAATGCAAAACTTATTTACAAAACCTTCTGATTCAAAAAAATGTTTTAGTCAAAACCTATTTACAAAATCTTCTGATTCACAAAATATTTTCAATGCAAAACTTATTTACAAAACCTTCTGATTCAAAAAAATGCTTTAGTCAAAACCTATTTACAAAACCTTCTGATTCTCAGCTTCTCAGATGTCTTCTGTTAGGTGTAGGTCTAATTAGGCCAAGTAAAAAAAAGGAAATATTTCTCGTCCAGATTTTTATATAAAAAAGAGAGAGCGTAATGGTTTGAGTTTTTTTTTACTTTTAGATGTCTTCTGTTAGGTGTAGGTCTAATTAGGCCAAGTAAAAAAAAAAGAAATGTTTCTCGTCCAGATTTTTATATAAAAAGGAGAGCGTAATGGTTTGAGTTTTTTTTACCTTTAGGAGATGTCTTCTGTTAGGTGTGAGATAAGCAACAATAGTTGTATAAAAGAGAAATTAGATCCTCCATCAACTTATTATCCTGGCCCAGGTCTCTCCTATTTAGAGTATCAGAGTATATATAAGTAAATATAACTTACCGGTGTTACACATTAGATGGTTCCAGCGAAAACATCCATCGCACTGAACCGCTTGCTGTTGAGGCTGTACCAAGTCGTGACAAACAATACAGTTTAAAATCTGCGCAGTAGCCATCCTGATATTAATAGTATTCCGAGATAAAGGTTTCCGAGATAATTCGTTATGAGTCGTAGAGTGTCGTAATCGTATGATTGAAATGAACATTCTTCGCATGCCAGTGTGTTTTATACACTTCGAAGGATCGAAATATCATATCAGTTAGTTTCAAGCAATTGGATTGGTTTATTTAGAACAATAGGGTAAAATTAACAAGTTTTAACACAATGAGTTTACGCGTCTATTCATTTGGTAATATACAAGCGTCAGAAAAAATGCTGTTTCCTCACGGGTCAGTTGCATCACCCACCTAAACAACATTATTGCTGGTATTTGTGTTTCTTGACTGTGTTTCTTGTAATACTTATATACTCTTGATCGAAGTTATAATATGCGCTGGAGTTATAGAATTAGTAGTAGTAGTAGTCTACAATGTATTTATATAAATCTCTGTTCTAGAAGTCTCAAAGGTAATTATATAAATCTCTGTTATCGACAAACCTTATAGAAGAACTTAAGGAAAAGGTTGCACACACGCGACTTTATTGCTCTAAGTTAAATTCAGCAACATACAGCGCTGGTGACGCGTGGCGTGCCGTGCATTTATGTGTTTTAAGTTGCGCGTACAAGAGAAGGAAACAGTCCAAACAAAATAACGGAAGGAAACTAAGTTCGAACGGGGAAATCAAGTCAGCTCAGTCAAGTAAATAACACACAGAAGCAAGAAGAAGTAATGGTAAATTTTTATTTAGAGTAAACTAAAACATTGGTGAAGTGACCAGTAGGACGTTGGCGAAGCGACTTTTCGCTTTGGCGAAGCGACCTAAGACGTTGGCGAACGTGACACTGGCGAAATCACTCGTTGGTGAAATCACCAGATACCCATCTCATCATTACAGTTTCCCATGAACATTTGAGACAAATTTAATTTCAATTAATAACTTAATTTAAAATTCACTAAAATGTTTAAAATTTACCTCTGGCTGATTTTAATGCTTCCCAGATACAATAGTGCATAAACAGCATTCTTTCTGCATATAAATGAACCAATATCTGTGCACCTACCAAAGACACAAAACAATATTAAGTACAACTTATCTTCAACTAAAGAAGGACAGATTTACTTATTTATTAAAACTGGGTCATATCTGGGTATAATTGAGCAATGACACAATTATTGCCTAATTATGAGCTCTACAAAAATTGTAAGGGTTATTCTTAGGGGCACTTTTATTTTTTATTTTAGCTCTCTGTTTTTGGTTTTTTTTTTTTTTTTTTGGGGGGGGGGGTGCATTTTTGGTAAATGAGATCACAAAAACCTGAATTCATGGCCTGAGAAAATTCAAGGAAGCACTACCATCAGTCACCTTTTATAATGATACTAGATAGAGGCAGTTTCTGCATATTACACTTATGCTGTGCCCCAATGTCTATTAATACCAATATTGCCTTAGCTTCCTGCTGAAAGCATTGATGAAATCCATGTACCTTTGCAATGAAATCAATGCACTATACCCTCTTTAACATCTCCAGCTGCTTGGTTGCAACATCCACAGCAAGGTGTTAATTTTCTTTCTCTAATTTCTTGCTGCGACACTTGCACAATTGTTTAAATAACTCTGTGAACTCCTTTAGTTCTTGTCCCCAAGCTTTCTGCTTCAGCTCCATATCTTTTTTTACATCTTAAACAAGAGCATAAGGGTAAACTGTTTAGTAATAATAACACGTACATGTACACTGTATGAATTGTCCCTTTAGAATCAAATGACATCTTTTTAATGTCTTAATATCACCACTGTTATGTTGGCAAAAGACTGCTTGAATAAACAACAGTACCTGGTATTCCAACACATAAACTTGTCAATACTAGTAATATTAATTTTTGTCTTGGGTAACAGGATGAAGTCTGCCTCACACTAGTGTAATTCTAATGAATTAGGACATTATAGAGAACCTACCTGTCCCATCAAGCTCTAATTGTTCAGTGTGGGTACCAAAGTCCCAAGTAAACACACCTGTTAATAGCATCTGCAAAATACTACATGCACATACATCTCAAGTTATAAAATATAAAGTTGAAAAATGGGTTTTGTTATGACATGCTCATTAGGCAATACATTAATTAGTCAGAAAATTTCATGAGTGCCAGAACCTATTTAACTTAGTAATTAACAAATAACACTAGGCCAGTAAATTTAACAATTGAATTAAAAAAAATTACTCACACAGTAGCACACCAAGACTCATGGGCTTCTCTGATGAAACATCTGGGTGCCACAGTAAATGGTGGTATACAATACATGTAGAGGCACACTCTGATGTAACATCTGGGTGCCATCCTAAGCAGTTGTGAACATGTTAAGTTCAAATAGGCCTTCAAGTCATCAACATTGACAAACTATACATGTATGTGATGTAATTATAAGAAATAGAACATTTACTTACATCAATCCTGGATTGACAAAATGTGACTCGTTTCAGAATCAAATTTCTAGCAGTGGTTAGATCACTGAAGGAATCCTTCAGTTTTTTTACTGGAAGGGCATGGTGTACAATATCCTCAACATTTTGAAGAATCTGCATTTCAGTGGGTCCTGTTGGCAAAAAATTAATCCCCTTTATTATGCTGGTCTGTCCAGTGCCAGATTACCAAGATTATTAGGAAAAATACCTATTAATCAATAAGGTAAACTTTAAGCTTCCCTGGTTTCTGTAGTAACTTGAAAAATAGTTACCATAGCACTTGCTCCTTGATCCTGCACATACATGTAGGCTATTAACCTCAACTGAGACATCTGTTTATTAATACCTTGTAATAATTGACTGAAATGAACTTGCCAGACATTGAACTGACATGTATGTTGTGCTTAGACACAGCTGACGCCTGACCAGCTTTTTTTTTCCAAAGTGATCCAGTCCACATGAAACGATTCAGGCCCATAACCCTTAAGGGCATCATTTGCCTCTCGAAGAGAGTCCACCCTATAGGCCATGAGACCTATCAATGCAAGCAATTGCTCTGTGTTCTTCATCTCCATGTGAAGAGTACAGAGCTGAATACTGCTCAGGTCTTCATCAAGTAGACACAAGTCGTCATCACGAATCCCACTTGACCTATACAAACACACAGTTTAACATAAGTTGCTTACCTTATGAAATAACTATATACTGGTATTGAAAACTGTTCTGGCATCAGCTATGAAGAGAAGGCTAAAACCGAGGAAAGTATCTTAAATGTTAACACACTGATGTTCCTTCCAACATATTCAAATAAGACCATGAACTGCATATTTTGGAGTAACGGATTACAAATATAGGTGCAACTGACCCCAGAACTAATTGCTTAAAAAATGTACATGCACTGGCTAGACTGGCTCATCAAGTATACTAGTAGTAATCGGAGATTAGGGAAGTGCGTTCGGCATTTCAAAGGGGAAATATTGTTTTTTGGTTATTGGGATAGATGAATATGCCTATGGTATGTTGTCAAATAAAGGGTTATGGCGTATTGTGAAACCTGTATTTACTCTGTGTACGAAAAGGTTTTAAAGGCTAGTTATATCGTATGGTTTTTGAGGAGGCAGTCGTTGCAGTCCATCGGGTGTGTACATATACAAGTTTTACTGTAGTTCGTGTGGTAGTTAAGTGTTAGTAAGAAGTAAGAGAATAGTTGAAAACGTGTTTAAATGTAAGCATTAATTTTATTTAAATCTGTTAAACAATTTTGAAAATGTGAACTGCTTCTGAAATTTAGTATAAAATGAAAGAGAAACTGTAAAGCTTTCATAACATGTATTTATAGATCTAACACCACATTTTCTGTGTTGTATGGGGTTGATAAAATGTGTTTTTCTATGTAGAAATAGTTATCATAATAAAGGAAATTAATTATGAAAAAACAACAGGAACATGTATATTTCTTTTTAAAAATAGTTATCATAATAAAAAACATCAACTGTTACTTCTGTAACTGAACTGAGCATTCTGAATTGAAAATAGGTCCTTTTTCTATTAAAGTTTGATAACATTGAGCTTTTTGAAGGGTTCAAACTGCTCATTTCGAAAGTCGACATTTAATACTTGTCAAATAGCCTCAAGTGAAACTTCTATCAGCTTATGAGAGGCAGTGTCATAATAGAATAGTTATCATAATAAAGAATATCAATTATGAAAAAAGAACAGGAACATGTATATTTCTTTTTAAAAATAGTTATCATAATAAAAAACATCAACTGTTACTTCTGTAACTGAACTGAACATTCTGAATTGAAAATAGGTCCTTTTCCTTTTAAAGTTTGATAACATTGAGCTTTTTGATGGGTTCAAACTGCTCATTTCCAAAGTCAACATTTAAATAATATTTCTCAAAGAGCCTTAAGTGGAACTTCTATCAGCTTATGAGAGGCAGTGTCATAAGTAATGCAGAAGCTTTTTGAAGGGTTCAAACTGCTCATTTCCAAAGTCAACATTTCAGTAATATTTCTCAAATAGCCTCAAGTGAAACTTCTATCAGCTTATTAGAGGCAGTGTCATAAGTAATGCAGAAGCTGGATTCATTGTCTAGGAGATGGAAAATGAAGTCTTCCTCTGATATAATGTTGAGGTTAACATCGGGTAAAAATGAAGCCAGTTTATCGACCTCGTGATGAAAGAGTGTAAGTGCAAGTTTGTCATTAATGTTTTGAGTTTTCTGAAAAAGCACTTTCAAAAACCACTGAGGTTGACAAGAAGTTCCTCTCATCATCATCTTGCAGGACTGACAATTTGCGATCTTTCCATTCGATTTCACTGTAACCTTCTTTTTGCATGACGTACAGGAAAGACTTTTTGAGGCGTGTTGGACACCAATTATTTCACCTGACACTTTCCTCTGTGTGAGTGATTCTATTTCTGTTGTGACTTGTGCCAAGTCTTGTGTGAAAGATGGGATCTCTTTGAAAAGAAACTGCTCTACCTTTACGTCAACTAATTGCTCTTTTGATACCTCTTGTAAAGATGAGAGACTTGGTAAGGAAGATGATGTTGCAGCATCTTGGTAGACAAATGGTACCACCACAGGTTGTACAGTTGTGTTGTTTTGGATGATGATGCTTTCAATGTCATCCTTGATGGAAGATGTTATGTTGTGGAGTCTGACAGCTGTTCTTCCTTTCTGGTACTTTTCTAGCAAGGGTCTCTTTGCTGGGTTGAAACAGACTGCCCTAACCACTCTGTCACTTCTCTGAATATTGCAGTTAAAATATTTGGTTGGGGAAAACGTGGCCTTCTTCACAGGAGATATGGTTTGGATGTAGCCCAAGATTTCTTGTACTTCAGAGCTCTGAGAAGCTACAAAGCAGGAAAAGTCAGTGGATATGTCATATAATGCAAGTGTAGGCATGTTTTATGGAATGTTAATATGTCGAATGTGAATGCAATATACAGCTGTAGTCATGGCATAGCACTGGTTATCATATGAATTCTTACTGGAATGGTCTTGAACCACCACTAACTTTATCTTGCACTGACACCTGATTGAACTAATCATGCCATGTATCTTAACACAATGGGAAATTTACGTCTCAGTTGCACCAACCAAATTGTTTATATTCACATACATATCACGGAAGGCTCTGTCTTCTCCAAGAACGAAAATTATAAAACCTCTCTTTAATTATAAGCTCTCCATTTGCCTCCTTTAGTTTTGGGATTAATTGCAGTGAATAAATCAAAAAAATAATAATAAAGAGCTTTTTGATCAAAGTATAATTTATTGAACCTACTTACATTTCAATTGTGTCTCGTCATTCATCTTGGAAGGTGGCTTTTGGTGGTCTTTTCCTGATAAAAGAAAAGATTATGGTTCTTGCTTAAAACTTTTTTATTATTATTTTACAAATTTCGTTTGCAATGTTTTCTATCCCAGTAATATGTACATGTAAAACAGTGCAAAAGTAAACATGAATTTCTTTGAGGATTTATTTGAAAAATTCTATTTTTTGATTAAATTTCTGCATGTATCTTGTGCAAGTTCATCAAGTCTCTTTTCTTCTTCAAGTCTATATTTTAAATTGGTTGACTTTCTAAGACCTTTAAGCCTTTCAAAGGTCATTGGTTCAATAATGCAAGAACGGAGTGTTTTAACTCGGCTAATTGCCATATATGAAATGCCTGCAGTTTTTTCAGTTTGACCAATGTCAATCCATGCTTTTGGTAGTGTTAGACCTTAGCTCTTGTGTATTGTTATTGCCCAAGCCAGTTTTAACGGCAGTTGTTGTCGCTCATGCATTCCATCAAGACATTGAGAAGTAACCGTGATTGGGCATATAGGAACGCATGATGGAATGGACTTGCTAATTGATGGGCCTTTGTAGTTGTCAAATTTCACAATAACCGCCTGAGGCAAGTCAGGAGGCTGGTGATTGTCTGCATAAATGAAGTCTACAACAGTTCCAGTTGCACCATTGCAAAGCCCAACATCTGTCCACAAATTCATAGTAAGCATTACTTGTGCCCCTTTTGCAAGGAAAACACAAGGTTCTAGTCCTGCCATTTCATCAGGGCTAGCTTTCTTAGCTAAATCACTTGAATGACGTGTATTGACACATGCTATTGGGTTATGAAGTGCAGACAGTTTTTCAAAGTTGTAACTTGCAACTTCTTCATTGCTAAAATATAGTCTTGTGGCATTTTGAAACTCGGTCAAGTTTGTTGTATTGGAAGGTTGTCTGGTCAAGAGAAGTTTCCAGTCTTGTTCAGTACAATCTCCTGTACGTAGCCGCATGAGTAAATCTCTAAACTGACTTTGTTCTGGATTTGTACCTTGAACTCTTTGGTTTACTGACAGTTTAATTACGTTGTTAAACATTAGGTAAGCTAAATGACCTTGTTCTCCTACAGAACTGGTAGGTTTAGAATGGTACAATGGCTTATCACCAACAGGCGGTAATTGACCAGGATCACCAAATAATATGATTGACAGTCCACCAAAAACTTCCAGGAAAGATTTATTACTCGACGTTTCGGGGTCATCGTGACTCCATTATCAAGAGACTAGTTTAAAAACATGCAAATAAGGAAAGGTACAAGAATAGCATAAATTAGAATGAACGGCTTAAACAAACACCTTGGCGCGGATGGAATCCGTTTGCACGTTCAGTGTTGGCTTACGCATGCGAATATACAACATTTCATTAACAAGGCAATCAAATTTGCCGTTACATTTCACGATGACGTTGAATTGCTCGATCAAGCGTTCAGGCATTTCACTATTGTGCTGGAGGTGGTAGTGTTTGTAGATAGAAGATGATTTCCTTGTGTGCCCTTCTACGCGCTCGTGTAAGTGACCACGAGTATAGCCCACATACCCTGCATCACACAGGTTACATTTAAATTCATAAACGATACATTGTTGGTTAACAATAGGGGGCTTAATTTCGTGTTGCTTAAGCTGTTGATCGAGCTTAGGGCTAACGAACACTGGTTGGACAGTCACGCTTAACTTCGAGCTTAGACTGTTCAGTTGTTGTTTAACATGATTAGCTGACGACTGGTCCTTGAAGGGTAACACTAATCTCTTTTAACAGTGAATGGATTGTACAGCCATTTATGTTATAGGAAGCTTTGCCAGTGGTGGCAGTCACTGCACAAGATGTTCCGAGTAAGCTTCGAATGGCATTGATCAGATAACTTTTACCAGTTCCAGCAACTCCATTCACAATGAGTAACAACGGATCTTTTGGAGAAGCTTTTTCAGAATGTGCATTTATCATGTTGTATGCATGTACTTGCATATCACTAAAAGTACTAATATCAATATTTTGTTGGGGCAATGCAACTGAAAATGTGTCTTTTTTAGATTTTACCCAGGAAGGCATTTCTCCTATAATATGGTGTTCATACTTGCACTTGTCATTTTGCCAGTTGTAATTGTTACAATCAGGCTGAAGTGTTTCTTCAGTTGTGTTAACAAAAGACCCAGGAATAAGATCAGCTAGATGCATCCACTCTTCCCGTAGTGGCAGTTGTTGGGAAATGTTTTCATAATCAGTGTCATTTTCTGATAAGTTTTCTAAAGTTTGCAGTTTTTCTTGCCAATCAGGTACATGCTGTTTAGCAAATTGTGTTTGAAGGAATGCTTTCCATGAAGTAATATATATCTCGTCAGAACCTGGTTGATCACCCCAAGCATTTTCCTGTTTAGTCTGCCAAGGTTTGTATCTAAGCAAATGATATTTACAATAAATGCCAAAATTTGGTCCCTTTGGATTAGAAGAAAAAACAGGGAAAACTCTTGGAACAGTGTTTTGTGGTTGACTTGTTAGCTTTTTGTTCACAAGCTTATATTTGGAGGCAAAAGTTATAAAATTTAACATGACTATATTTGGATAAGTTTGGGCATATTTTTCACGGTTTGCGTAAACATCCAGCAGCGAGTCATTTGTAACAAGACTGCCATCAAAAGAATTAGTATTGATTCTGCGAGAACCATTTAAACTGATTGGTACCACATTAAAGGATGAGCTTACCAGTTTAAGTGACATAAGACGGTGCATTGTCTCTTGTGCAGAAAAATCATGTTGACCAAGTGACTTCATGATGACTTTCTTAATGAGTTTTGTAGGGTTACTGTTGTTTTTGCAAGAGTGCATTATAGAATTAAATGCCTGTTTTAATACTGGTGACCTTGGTTCTCCTTTAGATGCATATTTGGCAAGGTATTCAACACATGCATGGTAATCAATAACCACCTGAATGTCACAGTTTGCCCTCCAGCCTTGCAGTTGGAGGCGCTGATGATTATTTAGCCTATCATCATTGCGCTTTGTTATTATTTTGGCTTTGTATTTGGGACTTCCATCTTTTGTATGAATTGGTTCAAATACTAGTTTTGTACTAGTGCAAGGTTGAAATGGAAAGTTAAATCTGCACTTAACATTTGTTTCATTGTGTTTCTTTCTAAGACAATAATTGGTACTGCAACGAGTGTGCCTTTGTACTGTATTCAGTAAGTCTACATAATCATCATCAGATTGTTGAGTGTTCATAATATCTTTGTGTAAGGATGAATGGAGGGTCTAATCCAAAAACCGTCCTCTGGTGGGTGTGGATTGTATGTAGATAATAACCAGTCTACATATTCACATACAGCTTGAGAACCTTTTTTCCTTCCAGTATCTGTTTGTTTAGTTCTGGAATATCTGATTATTCACCTTTATCAAGGGACACTTCTGCCAAATAGCCTTTAAGAGCAGTTTCTGAAAGCTGACTTAATCCTGGGTCATTCTTAAGTTTTGCAACACCATGACAGTGTATACTTCCTCTGGCTTGGTACTCAAATCTGTACCAGTGCCACTCAGCATCCACTGAATTATACAACCAATGTTTAATGAAGTTTTCTAAACGCTGTGTAAAGAACCAGTCAATGATGTGAGGATTGTTAATGACATTCTGCCGTCTGCTCTCAGGTGTGGTATCACTTGACGAACTGCTAAATAATGCATGTAGGTCAGGCCAATGCATGTCAGCAGAGGAGAAAGTGAAAAAGAATGTTGGAGCTCCAACATGACTTATTATTGCTTTTAAATCTTCTTTAGCTTTATGCCAATAAGCATTTGAGCTAGTTATGTTACTAAGAAAGCGTGATAACTTAGATACGAAAACATTTGTGTTGTTGTTAGCTGCCATTTGTTGCAGTTCTTGTACAGTCAGATGCGCTTCTCCAGGATTCTGTTTGAGAAATATTCCTGTTTGCTGCAGAATACGTTTTCTTTGGATCATCTTCAAAGCCCAGTAAGCAAATCTTGGATGACTGGCAAAGCGGTATAGCCACTTGCCATCTATATTTTCTCCAAATCTTAAAAGATGCTTAACTCTTTCTGCAAGAGGTACATCTCTGTGAAGTGAAGGATTGGTAGGGTCACCCTTGCCATCAGGAAATAATGTAGGGAAAGCTAATTTTGCTAAGAAAGGAGTTAGATACTCATTCAATGGCTCATTATCTACTGTTGGCCAAGGCATAGATATAGGCTGGTGACACAACTGTTGTTGTATAGCTTGAACTTCTTGCTGTTGACATTCAGGAATAGGTAGAAAACTGCTCATTTCTTTGCTTTCATTATAAACTATGTCTTCTTCGTTTTGAGGCCCTAAGTCAGGCTCACTAGCTTCACTGTTTTCAAGATTTTCTGTTTCTATTGAAAGTAGATCTTGTGGTACACCATGCAAAGGCAATGAGTTCAAAGAATCGTTGTTGATAATTATGTCTTTGTAATACGGATTGTTATTAATAAGCCAATGCAGTGCGTCTGCAACATTTTGTCTTCGAACTGTTACATCTTTAAAGCTGTTGTCTTTACCTTTCATCTTAACAACCATAACAGATAAATCTTTTGGGTATCTTGGTAGAGAATGTGCTAGTTCACCCTACATTCTGTGGAAGGTTGATACAGTGACCTGAATAGCCCCGTTGCCCACCAGGCTTTATGTAAACACGCATAGTGGGAAGTGCTCGTGCAATAAGCATTTCTTCTACTTGGGTTAAGCCGGCAAGCTGAGAAGGAACTAATGAAGGAATCATATCATTCTCTTTTGAAAATTGTTTTGGTTGTTGTTTATCATTGGTGCACCTTGAACACTGATATTGATTAGCGATTCTTGGCCTGTGCTTTACGGGCCATGCTTCCTGGCAAACAGAACACTGGTAAACCTTATAGATATTGGACTTATGAAACATGTCATTATTGCTTTTTGCCTGTGTTTGCTCATGAATTGGAGAATCAATCAGTTTTTCTTGCCTCTCTTTCACTGGTTGCTGAGAGGCTTGTTTTTTATAATTCGCTCTCCTTTTTGCAAGCCTTTCTTGCTTTTTATTAGCACTTTCTTCAGGCAATTTTTTTTTATAACTCGCTCTTCTTTTTGCAAGCCTTTCTTGCTTTTTTTCAGAAGTTTCTTCAGATAATTGTATTTTATCACTGGCTTTTCTTTTTGCAAGCCTTTCTTGCTTTTTTTCAGCAGTTTCTTCAGATAATTGTTTTTTATCACTGGTTCTCCATTTACCAAGTATCCTCTCCTTGTCATATTCTGAAACACTATATTTTCTCTTTAAGTATTTTAATCTATTTATATTTTGACTGTTACTGTGTGTCACAGTTGAAACATAGAGCAGATCATTTATGTACCCAATAAATATTGTGTGTTGTATTTCCTGCTGAAGAGCAGGAGTTATAATTGTAGCTTGCAGTGAATCAGCATTAGATTCTGTGATATGAATGACACAGTTAAAGGCATTAGCAACAGCTTGTGTGATGAGATGATCACACCAAGTACCAGGTATTGACATTTGCTTAATATAGTTTTCCCAGGTATCATCAGAAATACTCTCAATATATAGTTCTGGGTAATTATGTAAATGAGTTATCCCGGCCATGTGAACTTCTACATGTAGGTCTGCAGTTCCATAAAGTTGATGTGAAACTGATTTGAAAAAGCAATCACCAGATCCCCCGACATCATGTGGTATTAAACCTATTTGTGCAAGCCTTTGACTTAAACAATTTCACAGTGAATCAGCTGTATTATGATGCATACCTCCCTTCAAACTTGACTTATTATTACAGTGGTGTATGCAGCTACAATGCTTTTGCCTCATCTTACATTTCTGTGTCTTCATGTTGAAGGGATATTTGCTATAAAAAGTATCTGTTGTACCATAATCGCCAGATTTTGTGGTTTTGACTCAAATTAGTGATAAATGAACTCTTTGGAATACTTTGTCTGACAAAAAGCTGTACCTTTTTTCTATATTTTTTTGTTAAGCACCTTTAGAATTCTTTTCAGAGGAATTCGAGATGGCTCCCTGTCTCTTTTCCTTCTTCGATTCAAGGTTTCTTTCAAAACTTCACCCTTCTCAAAATTGATTGAACTTTGTAAGCTTTATTCCGAACATGTAGTGCAAATAAGCTCACTAACAAGCATAGCCGTACAATTTTTTAGATCCAGTTATCAAAGACTCAGAAGGATTTTGTGTACCACTTCGAACACTTAAAATAGTGCCATTTTGATGTACTTTGTTGCTCACCAGAATGGCTTAATTAAATATACAATTCAATTGGCTTAATGGGCGACCACAACGGGTCAATTGACACAATGGCCATGAAGCAATTGACTGATTTGTTATGCGACCACAACGGGTCAGTTGGCACAATGGCCACCAAGCAACACTACTTGGTTGATTTGTTTTGCGACCGCAACAGGTCGGTTGGCACAATGGCCTTCAAGCAATACTACTTGGCTGATTTGATTTGCAACCGCAACGGGTCAGTTCGATCAAACATGGCAAACCGTTCAAAACAAACCACGTTCTGGTTGATATACAGGGTCCAGAAGTGGCACACACTTTCCTCAGGCCTTGATTAATTACACCTACGAAACTTTTCAACAACATAACAAAATAACTTACCGACCAAACAGCAATAAATGGGCAATAAAGCTTGAACACAGGAAAAAATGTGAAAAATCCAATCCAGTTTTTACTTGGTTTTCGCCTGGACATTTCCTGGTTTTCAAGAAAAAACCAAGTTTGGAGAAAATGCAATTTCCCCAAGTTTGGTTTATCAAGAAATATCCAGTGAGGGTTAAGACAAATTCCAAGCCTGGCACACTTATATAGCCAGGACTGGAAAAAAAAGGAAATTGCAATATCCAGGAGAGGATTAATAAAAAATACAACTTTGGATAGTAAAGTATCCAGAACAGGATATTATTTCCATTTTCCAGGCTTGGCAAATAAAAAATCCATTCAAGGATTAATATTGTCTGCATATTTGGAAAATGACATTTCCATTCTTGGATTTTTGAGATCTCCATTGTCGGAAAATGGAATAACCAGTATCAAATTTGTGAGATCTCCAGGTTGGGAAATTAAGATAACCTTTCTGGGATACACACGATCTCCATGTTTAGAAAATGTCATTACAAATCACTGAAATATTAAGAGATCTCCATGTTTGGAAAATGAGATCACCACCAGTCAGGGATTTATGGGATACCCATGAATAATAAATGGTATACCCAGCCAAGGATTACGGCACCTCCCTCTATGAAACATTTAATGTCAAGTCTGAGATTAATGAGATCTCCATCTTATCGAAGTCAATAACAGCAAAGAAAATAAAGAATGCAGTCCAAGTATTCCTTTAACGGTCAAACATTTAATTATACAATAAACCAGCCAATAAGCTCAGTGCTACCTGTACATGTTCATCTTAAGGCCACTACATGGACATGCCTATCACAAACCTGTACAGCATTCCTTGGCTTTAAACATCAAAATGCATTCTTAAGGTATCACAGAAGGAAAATTCAGGTGTTTGCATTCTAAGTGAAATTGCGTGCAAACCATCAATGCTAACCCCAATAAAGTATATCGTCTGAAAGATAATTGAGTATAGATTGTATTTTTGGATTTTGTTTTGATAATATATACCATAATAAGCAATGTTAGCATTTGCTTGCGATTCTGAAGTTGTACAACATTAGGTTTATTCGAGAACACGTTTACAAGAAACACCTAGACTTTTGTGTGGAATTTGATCTACATATAATGGTCTAAAAAACGGTGTCTCAGATTTTTCTTTTATTGCTCCATTATTTTTTAAACTTGAAAAAGCACAATAAACTCATTAATTAATTATTAAAAATTCATAAAAAATGGAGCATCAAAAGAAAAATCAGAGACACTGTTTCTTAAACCAATATGTGTAGATCAAATTCCACATAAAAGTTTAGGTGTTCATGTAAACATGCTCAGGAATAAACCAAATGTTGCACAACGTCAGAATCGCAAACAAAATGTTGACATTGCTTATTATGGTCTATATGACTGACAAAATTCAAAAATACAATCTATATTCATTAAGCTTTCAGACGATATATACTTTATTGGGGTCAGCATTGATGATTTGTACACAATTTCACTTGGAACAGAAACACCAATTTTTCTTCCGTGATACCTTAATTGGAAGGAGACCTATTCAAAAACTTTAAGACAGCTGAAAACAGTTTCCACAAACTCTTTGGATTCAACGCTGACGGGAGTCTAAGCACACACGCTCAAGGCTTTGAGAGGAACAAGATTTAAATGCTGCATGTGCACAGTTGATCAAAAGTTGCAAATGAATGTTTTCGAGTTTGTTGTACACAAGTGATGAAAAAGATTTAATGACTGAATTTTCTGAAATCGAGCAGAAGTCAAATTTTTTATTTATATTTAGCTGGGTTGCCATGATAATGCAACATGGTCATCAACAACTAGCAAAAATTACAAATATAGTGACTTATCTTGTAACCTGTCAAGTTTGAGCTCGTCAGCTGCAGCGGTTTTGATGTGAAAGTAAAATAAAGGATAGGTATTCCAAAGATTGGAAACTGTGTTCAGCCACCTTAAGCTTATTATATCATGCATAACAGAAGAGCCTGAAAAACACAGAGTGACTGATCATGAAGCAACATCCTAAGTAACTCTGTCAAGTGCTACATCTGCATATTGAAACCTTATTTTGTAGAAGAAATGAGGCAACTACTCCTATGTAAGTGTTTTGGTCTCTGTTTCTTGACAAAGTTAAGCCCATTTTCTTGGCTTCTTTTCTCAGCTGAATCTCATTGCTTTCAGTTGCCCCAAGCCAAACAAGCATGATGCTACCTATGCACGCCTATCACACTGCCGTGCAGCATTCCTTTAACTTAAACGTCCATCTTTAAACTGGAAAAAAACTTATTCAAGAAGTTTTCATTGACAACACAACAGCTTGCAAAAAAAACACAGAGCAGCTAAGAACTTGTCATAAGTAAGGCTTTTGAGTAACTGATCATGAGACATCCTGACTGATGGAGACATCATCTTGAGAAACCTTATCAAATGCTACGCCAGCAGCAATTGAAACCTTTTTGTTTTGCACAAGAAATGAGGCTACTGCTCGTAGGTAAGTGTTTTTGTCTTTGTTTCGTAAGAAAGTCATGCCGATGTTCTTGGCTTCCTTTTTCAAATCATTAAGTCGGATCTCATTGCTGGCTGTTTTCCCAAACCAGACAAGAAGGATGGCAGTTGCTGACATCAAGCTCAGACCTGAAAAAAGACTACAGCCAAATTCAATTGCTTTTTATCTGTCATTAGTGCTTTATGATATTAAAAATTGACATTACCCTAGAGTTTGTGTTGACAAGTTTTATAGATAGTCTGTTGGTAACTTTAATTCCTCATTCATGACATACTCAAGCCCAAGGTGTTATAAGCACAAACAGTAGAACCAAACTTAAGGATGATTCTTGTATTATTGTTATTCCAGAAATAGTAATTTCATAGCTAAATTTGTTAGTAGTTTTCAAACCATTTAAGAGGAGTTCCACATACACCATAATGGTAAAGTTTAGACAATAAAATATCATGGATCACTGTGTGTCAGATGCCTTTAATACAGTGAACCAATCGCCTTAATAAAAAAGGCTATTAAGTTGAAATTTGACATTTTATCTATGATATTGTACAATTGCCAACATAGGAAAAGTCATTTGTCCAAGGACACAACATATGGACCATATTAAAATTTATACCAATGAAGTGCATACTGTACATATATGTAACTGGAAAACTGGGAGAAATTCATCCTTGTAAGAAAGGTTTCATAATTCCCTCGCTTTAATGTTGTGCAACAGTCATCTGGTCATTTTGTCAAGCACTAGTTTTGTAATGGTGCATGGGAAAATTACATGGACTGTCAATGAACTGGATACTAGCAAAAGAAAACTAATCCCCTGACAACAGAAAAAAGAGAACAGCAATGACTTACCATCAATAAAACAGGCTTCATAGCTTTGTACTTTATCTTGCCGTGCTGATAGTATGGAAGGGCTACCTTTACTGCTACTTTCGCTTGAGTCCTGATCGCTCTGTGAACTTAATGGGTCATTTTCTTTCCGCCTTCTCTCTTGCATGTACTTTCTAATAATTTCATCAATGGCTTTTATTTCTAAGCCTGCTCTGGGGAATGTGTAAGATTCATCTTCAGCCAACTGCTTCGTTATCTCTTGGAGCTTCTTTGAATTTTCTGCACTGTTTCTAAACCAAGGGGTAGGTTGATCATCAGGCCAGACAGTCCTAGCAAAAGCAATGATTTTCTTCTTCCTAAGAATGCAAAATGAGATTATGAGGGCATCCAGAATTCTATCACAACTGAACTTTTTTTTTTCTTTCTGCATAACACCTATAAAAAGGAATAAGAATAAACTCTAACAAATGAAACCATTTTTCAGCATTTCCATGGATGTGTTAATAGCAAAGAGAATCAATAGTTTGTAGGTCACCTAAGGAAAATCACAACACAACTGGGGCATCAATATGTTTTAATCCAACTTACTTCGTATTGTAGACACTGCGGTCTAAAGAGGTCAATGTGTCCTTTTCCTTGTTTGTAAGAATTCTGTCGATATCTTCAAACCTTTCTGTACACACTAGCTTGGGTTTTTTTTCGCTCGTGATTAACAACACTGCCTGTAGAAAAATTCCCAACTGTCATGTAATTCTCATTACATTAGGAAACAAGGTCTTTTCTGCCCTGCAGAAAAGGTACAGGTTTGTAATTTATACTCGCCTTTAAAACTTATGAATTTGTGTATTTAATTACGGCATGAGACCGTTCAGTTTTCGTTTTAAACTCACTGGAAAGTTAACTAAATGTAATGGTGCAATCTCACTCAAAGTAAGTTGGTCTCCAGTCTCAAGTAGTGCATGCATATCAGCAAGAAGAAGCAACCATTTTGGTGTATCTCAGTATTTTTTGCTGTAGTTTTTGGAAGCACCTCTAGATTATAAACTAATAAAACCAGTTTAGTATTATGAGAACACAATATATGCACAAAATATTTGCAAATGTCACCTTATTTTTCAGATAAGCAAAATAGACCCTTCCACGGTTTCTGATGCCATCTTGTTTGGGGGCAAACACAGTAAAATTTACAGTAAATGTATGGGAAAAGTGAGCAATCTAATGTCTAATAATTCACGGAAAATTCTAATTCCGAAATATTTTTGAATTACAAACTCAAGATACCGGGTAAAAGAGTTTACTGACCAAATTTGAGGAATGTAAACTCGCTGGAAAAACGTAAGGATTTTGTTTTTACATATATTTGTCTGAAAACTGAGCCGCCGTTAGTGCGAAGAAGTTTAGGAGCATTTGTATGAAAAACTAGAAATGCGACTTCTCGCTTCCCAGCATGTATGTCCTTCACATTTAACCCATTAAATCTTTTGCTAGGTACGTTTACCTTGTTATTCATAGAAATTGCAGTGTTAATTTTCTTTAAATTATTGTGCTTCGAACTCCTAACTTTTCCCATACATGGGCTGTAAATTTTGCCCACAACAAAGATGGCGCCAGAAACCATGAAAGGGTCTATTCAGAACTTGAGTTTTTATTAACATGCGAGGCAGCGAGGCGTGCGAGGCACCATGCGAGGCGTGCGAGGCATCGCAATTTCCTTAATTTTTACACATGACCATATCGTGGGCTCAAGTGTAGAACTCATCGAGGTTATGTGTTTTTTAAAGTTCACTGCTGACCAGGTTATGGAATTTTATTGGATCGCGGGCTCAAGTATTTCCCAAATTATTGCAACAAAGCTAAAAATTTTTACATTTACACTTTTGTTAAAGTAATATTGGGGAATCATTTCTTGATTAATTGACAGCTGTCAAGCAAGACGTCCGCTGACCAGTGTCACATGAACATATCGCGGGCTCAAGTCTAGAACTCATCGAGGTTATGTGTTTTTTTTAGTTCACCGCTGACCAGGTTATGGAATTTTATTGGATCGCAGGCTCAAGTATTTCCCAAATTATTAGAACAAAGCTAAAAATTCGGAGCTCCGCTTTCAGACTTGGCTAATTCTATTTAATATGGTTTATCTTACATAATTCTATCTCGCTTTATTGTTTATTGCTTAGCCCACACCCACTTTTGTAACTTTTAGGTGTCAAATTCTTGTTTCCCGACAAGCACCCCTGGCCGAACACATGTGGGAGTCCAGCCCCCCAGGTTCTAAAGGGGGTCAAGAGTCAAAAAGACCTCTTCCATGGGGGTTTATCAATAAATCAATTCTAGTCACACATCGGCCTTTATTTAATTCAACTCGTTAAGAGACGGACCATCGATATTCAGGGGACGGTTAAGCCTGCAAGCCACTTGGGCCAGAAAATACGAGCAAGTCACTAAAAACTCAATCTCACAAAATGGCAGTTATACTTTCATTACATTCTTGGCTAGCCACCCGAGGCGGAATAAGAAAAAAAAAAAAAACCCCAGTCCCTTCTTATCCGTTCAAAAGAAGTACAAGTGGTAGCGTACAAGCGTGTATTGTCAATGAAGTACTTGTTGTGCTGGGCTCAAATGTTTGTCAAATTCTAGTTTTGTTGCACCAGGGCCCGGTTGTTCAAAACCGTGATTAAACTAATCACCGATTAGGCCTAATCGGTGATTAAATTTCTTAATCGTGGGTTAGTTAATCGTTGGTTAAAAAACGGTTGTTCAAAGGGAGATTACTCGGTCGATTTACTAATCCGCGATTAAGCATAAAATGAATTATATTAATTAATTATAATTTATTTTGTGCCAGTTTACGTCATAAAATTGCCGGAAATTTATTTTTGTCAATATGGCTTCTCCAGCGAAGAAAGTGCAGAAAGCAGACTTTTCACCCGCTGAAATTTCCGTTTTAACGGAAAAATTTGAAGAAAATATGGACATTCTTCAAAGTAAATTTACCAACAGTATAACAAATGCAAAAAAAAACAAGATTTGGGAAGAAATCTTGGAGGCGGTAAACGCCGTCGGTGTGACAGCAAGATCAACGCAGGAAGTACGAGACAAGTGGAAAAACCTCCAGAGTCACGCAAAAAGAGAATTCAGTTCCTTTAAAAGTGAACAGAAGAAGACAGGTGGTGGCCCTGCTCCCCCGAACCCATCAGAAGCCAGTTTAAAAATAATAAACATGTTCAGTGACACACCGTCATTTACTGGGTTACAGGGGTTTGAAACAGGTAAGTTTATAAATGGAAACATTATTGTAATACCTCTCAATGTCCATACCTTGCATAAAATGTATACTTCGCTAACAAACACAAAGCAACGTGAAAATTAACGGACTTTAGACTTTTGTTTCTTTCTTATTTTCTTTTACATGTACTCCCATGTAAACAAAAAAACAAATGGCGCCGAAAAGTCTGCCTCGGCCCACTCTTCTCTTCTCGGCTTCAAATACAATCTTCGGCCAGCGGCCAACTCTAATCAATTAAATATGGCTGCCTTTTAGAAAGGCAGTCAAGTGCAGTTCAAAACACTGCATTTCAACAGATTGTGGTGCTTCGTTATCTAATAAGACTGGCTGGTCCGTAGGTCCAGAAACTCTTGTCCTCGAGGTGGTGTTGAGCAAGGCCTCTGCCGATGAGACCCCTAATTCTGTTGCTGAGAAGCCCGACGAGTTAATAAACAAACACGAAGCCGTGACCAAAGTTGTCAAAGACACCGCTTCCTGTAAAAAAACTATCAAGGAGGTAAGCGAAAAGCCCCCAAAGAGGAAAATAACCCACGACATGGTGCTGGAAGAGCAGTACAAGGCTTTACTATTAAAGCAGAGTAATTTGAAGCTTAATAAGAAGAAACTTGAATTGGAGATTGCTCTGTTGGAGCAAAAATTTGCAAATATTAAGGAAACGGAGACCTGTGGTGATTTGATGACCACAATCAATTTAAGCCCTATAGTGGCTGGTCGATCTTTCCTCTCGTAAATTTACATATTTGTCAAGCTGGCTGCAAAAATTTTAAACCATTAAGTACTTGGCTGTTATAAATGCTGACCAACACTTCCTTTTCGGTAAATGGTTTCTTGACAGAAAAAGAAAAAACAATGAAAAATAAATAAATAGGCAGAGCTCACCATGGGGATCCAAACTCCTAATGTCTCACATGGCGAGCCAGTGTTTATCACACTGTGTTACTTACAAGTATATAAGTTACTGAAGGGTGAAAGTATTAATCATATACCTAAGTACAGCAGGCTTAAGTGCCCCACAACCAGGAAGAAATCCTTTCATAGTTTATTTTCCAAGTTCAGAAGGTCATAGCCACTTTGATTTCACTGGTCATCAAACATATGGAATGAGCTGCTTTTATAACTTTTAATCAAGTAAACAGTTCCAAGAAGTGAAGAACTGCAAACATATCGACAATGTCATGCAACCTGTGGTGGACATTCATCAAGCTATGTACTTCCATGGCAAAGGAATGTGAACCATTCAATGGAGGGGCGTTATTAGTTTGGAAATCCCTTGGTATTACTATATAGAGATCAAGCATTCTTAGCAAGTACGAAAAGAAATTTAAGTTGCAAAATAGAGAAAGTTTTTGACTGCTGAGTATACATTGTTTTTCTAAAAAAACTCAGTGCCTGTGAGCTGGTATAGTATGCTAGAGTTGAATTGGTCCACTACAAATTAAAGCACTATTGGTGTGGCATTTCCAAACAAATATCAAGTGCTCTTAGAGGGTTTACACTTGACTGAATTTTTGAGAGTTCACTCCAGAGTCAGAGCATGAATATTTTCTAAGTGTTGAGACATCAAGTTTTGTAGTAAGCCTAAGCTCAAAAATTTCCTCAACTACAAAATAATACTTGAAGTCGCTTGAAATTTGTAAACAAAGATCTACCATTGTCAATTAGAAGAAGAATATTATTGAATGAGCTGTTCCATAGAAATTCAGATCTATAATAATTTCAGACTGCCAGGTATCTAGTTTTTTGAAATCACTTCCTGGCAGTCAGGTATCAAGACCCAGGGGGTGGGGAGAGGTGCAGGTTACTCTCCGATAGGGTCTATTAAGGTATGTATGTGCGCCTAAGGCGTATGACTTTTCAGCCTCTTTAGCCATAAATAGGGTATCGATTTAAGCCATTTTGATCATTATAGGGTCTGTTTTTTGCTCTCCAGTCCTGAATTTGGCATGTTTTTCAGAAGAAGCTACTTGTTTATCATTATTGATAAGACTGATCAATTAAAATAACATACTTAAGATGCTCTTAACAGTCAGTGAATTATTATATAAATAAAACAAGAAAAGAGTGGTTAAGTTATTTGTTAATATTATATATATCTTTATAAA